GGTTCAACAATGTTTAAGTGTTGTATGATCAATTCAGTACTACTTTCAAGCAAATTTGAAATATTGTCCATCACAAAAGAATTAAATGCCTTAAACAATTATTTAGATCCATTACAATACGAAGATACACATTTAGTTATGTTCATTACAAAGGAAATTAAATATATAGATGCTTCGAATCTTTGCCTTTGTCGTCTGGTTATTGTAATGCTTTGAAATCAGAAGAAGAAAGAAATCCCTCTACTGAATCTGAATTGCGTTGAAAAATATCAGATAATCCTAATTGACAATTGTAACTGGATTGAAATTAAGATGTTTCCTACGCAATGCTTTAAATGAAATCGGTTCTTTTTTAGAAGCTTTTAACTATTGATTCTTTGCTGCTCATTGCTGCTATTGAGGTAATGAATTTAAACCAGTATTGTTAAATTGTCAAATACAGCATTGGAGAGTCTCTATAAGATAAATCATTCAGTGTACAGTACAGTTTACCCTGTCTATAGCATAGTCGCTATACTCAGAGGGTCAATAACACAGAGTAGAGCACAATTATCAACATTCAAAATTTGAATAAATCAACACATTTCAAGACAAGACGACCGAAATATGCATTATTTAAACTTGACTAAAAGACTAAACAATGCATTTTGTATTGATAAATTTTTAAAATGCCTTATGTAACTCAATGGGTATTGTAATACAATATACATATAATTTATATAGAATGTACTCGGAATTTTTTATTGCTTCTGATACCAGTATAGATAGCAGTTTTTGCTATTTCAGTATTTAATGAATTTTCATTGAAATAAGTTCATATAAGGTTCTTTTAAATAAACCAAGGATTTTTAGAACTGCCTATACAAAATAATGTAAATACTGTGCAAAGACCGCAATACAATTTCCTCACTCTCACGAGATCACGAGATGTACGGAATAATTAAAAGCTGTCTATAAATGTCTCACTTATATATGTTACTATCTGACATCTTCACAATAAATTTACAGAATGGTCTGTCAAACTAACAACTTGTATTGAATTAATAAAGAAATAAATCCCAAACGATGGTACAGTAATACATCTCTCTTACCCTTAGCGACAATTAAGACGTTATCAATATGCTTTTATAGTCGTGTGCCAAAATAAATTGTCATATTATGTGGTAAAAATGTCGTAACTAAGACACTATGGAATACTTGGTTTTATTGGCTGTTTTGGAACAAAATTGCAGATGTTTATTAGAAGAAAATGCATTAATTCCACAGTCGATGAAAACAAGAAATATTTTTAGCCATATAATTGCTTGAATGTTCCGTGTCAAATTTATACATGCAAAGATTTCTAAAACTACAAAATCCGCAAAACGATTTTTGTCTTTTTTGAGCAGAAATATAATCTTGTCCCTTGAAACAGATTAGATTGTTGTAATAAATGTTACATGTTCGACAAAATATCTCATTTTTATCAAGTCGTCAAGAGAATAAATCTTGAAATAAAAATTTAGATTTTTTTTCTGACATTGTTTGAACATATATATGAACTTTTTTAAATCTGAAATATATTGTAAAACTAGAAATAAGACAACACGTTTTATGAAAGAACATACTTTAGAAATATCAATATCTTACTTTCTTGTAGGGTATCGCTAGTAAACCCCCGACGTTCTGTAAGCTATCAAATGAAACATTTGATATAAAGGTCTTAAACATTTACAAAAAATGTGTAAAATTGTGAAATAAAAAGCTAATTTGTTAAACATATACCATGCTCAAATTTCATATTTGAAAATATATATAATTGCTACACAGTCTCTTTGTAAAAATAAAATAAATATGTTTTAACTTCAAACAAAGTACAATTTAGGTATGTTGTGTTTAAAATTCTACACACTACATGTACTATTATGTCCCGTTTAGTTTTTAATTTTATATTTTGTTGAGTTCGTTCTTATTGGTTATTCAAGTTTTTATTTGAATGTGTTTTTCCGTTTAATTTGTTAGTTGCAATTTGTGTTTTTTGTTCCTTTTATTGTTTAGGTATGTATATTATGTTCTGTTCCACGGGACGTGACCTATTTTGTTTTCTGTTGTTTTGATGTATGTATTTGTCATTCAGTTAAGAACATGATATCTTTTCCGTTGTTGTCTGTCCTGAAATGTTGCGTTGTTGCGTATTTCGTTATTCGTTCTTCTGTTATTGTTCCACGCTATCTGATATGTTATTTGTTTTGTGTGTCTTGTTCATGTCTGTTAACTCTTGCCTGTATCGTTAATGTCATTATGTCTTGTTTACTGTATGTTATCTGTTTTTCTAAGTGTATTGCTGTCTGCTAACATAATTATTTGGTTTTCGTCTGTTCTAATCAGTGTCTTGTTGAATGCTCCGTTAAGTCTTTGTTTTCTGCTTTTGCATGTTCCATTAGGAATCTTGCCGAGAACGTTCCGTTTTCCTCTCCTTTTCATTTGTTTTTTCTATTGATATTTGTTCTATTAAGTTTTTTTGTCTGCTTACCGTAATTTGCTGTTGTCTCATATGAAGTTTTTGTGTTTTCCGTGTCGCGTTCTGTTCTGCTTATCAATGTCATGTGGATTACTCCGTTAGGACTGTTGTATGTTCTTTTGTCTTTATTGTCCTCGTTTCCTGTTCCGTTTCAGTCTTCTCTTGTCGGTATCGTTGTCCTTGTGTCTTGTTCCTTTGAGTCGTATCTTGTTTACTGATGTATATCTGTCCCATTTTTCTCTTTTTTAAGTGTACTGTCGTCTCGGGGAAAGTTCCGTTTTTTCTGTGCTTCCAGTTATGTGTCTTACTGGTTACTAGTTCTTTCTTGTCTGCTTCAGTAATTTTATGTACTGTTTTGTGTTTTCCGTTCCGTGTGGTGTAGATTGTGCTATTGATTGCTTTTGGATTACTACGATAGGACTGATGTATGTTTCGGTATGTCTTTTGATGTCTGAATATGTTAACATATTCCGTTGTTGTGTATCCGTAAGTACCTCTGTTTTCGGTACTCGTTATCGGTCCTCGTTTCCTGTTCCGTTGGCTTCAGTTCTGTTAAGTCTTCTCTTGTCTGTTTTATTCATGTCATTGTGTCTTGCTCCATTAAGTCACTTTTGTCTGTTCCTTTTCGTGTCTTGTAGAATGATCCGTTAAGTATTCGTTGTTATCTGTCGGATAAGGTCCCTTTTTGCATATCATTTGCTGTCTGTACCGTTTTGTCTTTTTTCCCTCCTTTCCGTCTTTTGAATTGAATTCTGGTCAGTTTAGTTAACTATCTGTATGTTTTAACCGTTTAGTCTAAGTTCGTATGTTCTATTTGTTTAGTCTTTAGCGTTCTTTTTTCTGGTTTTGTAAGTCTTGTAGCCATTTTATTCTTATAGTTGAGTAGCGGGGGATCGAACTCACGAACCATTGATTGGTAGACAGACGGTGTTATAAAATAGATCACTTTGCTTTAAGATATCCTTGGTACCCGGAATTCTAAGATATATCAGATGGTGTGATAATCTTCTTTTAGACTTTTTCTAAAACCGAAAATGAATTCCGAAATTTTTTAAGAGCTGCCATGGTATCGCAAGCCGAAGAACCAATCTCCCGATTTCAGAAAGAAAAATATCACAAGGTTGTAGCCATTCCAATAAAACTTCTTCATCACACAAATATTGTTAAGTGAGAAGCAGTGTGCAATCTAGCAATTGAAATAATGATTTTGTTATATTATTAGAAATGAGTAATAAAGCAATGCTATGTATTCGCATTTGCAATATTTTAATTTTGTTTAATAAGCAGCAATGTGCAATGAAGCATGAGTATAAACACAGTTTGAAATATTACAGTAAGCAAATCTATGAATAAGAATGCAATCAAAATACACGGATTTGTAACATTCAGATACAAACATGGCCATTTACAAAGTAAACGCATTAACAATTATCTTTTGCCATTTACAAAGTAAACGCATTAACAATAACATTTGGCCATTTACAAAGTAAACGCATTAACACTAATCTTTGGCCATTTACCAAGTAAACGCATTAGCAATAATCTTTGGCCATTTACAAAATATACGCATCAAGTATGACAAAGACAAACAGTACAAACATGTACAAAATCACAAACGCATGCAAAAATATACAGTTTATGAAGGAGTAACAGCTTGTTTCAGTGGCATGAAAACGAAATTCAAAAACTTCTATAATGAAGTTTAATACAAAATACAAAACAAAACAACACACACAAAACAAAACAACAACAAAAAAAGAAGAAAAAAAACAAGCCAATATCAACCAACCGGCACGGAACCCAGCAAAGCATTATAAACTTCAATCAAATGAAAGTCATCGTATATTATCAAGGTAGTTTTGCCGAATGTAGAAATTCTTAAACGACAGAGACAATATCTTTTTCAAAACAGAAGTTTGAACACGCTGAACTGTCGTCATTACACATAAAAATTATACAAAAAAGGACATGCATGTAGAGCAGCGAGAAAGAAAATACAACAGTAACATGCGATCGGCGGATTTCTAATAAAAAGGAAAACAAAACACGAAAAATGCCAAACGATAACACCATAACAAGCGCCATATCGTTTTCGAAATTGGTGTTTGATAATACAAAAACCATATATACAAGATTTTTTATTCGTCATTAGGCAAGTTCAATAAAGGGTGATTTTGTTTGAATTTTGAAATGAATTTTGAAGAACCTCCTATCATGATTATTTTTTATATTTACAAATTTGAAACTGAACCTGTTATTGACCGCCCCTTAATTATAGAAGCAATCAAATAAAACATCAGGACCGGGTTGTTCAGAACATTGGTTAGTGGTTACCAGTGGTTAAATTCATTATCCGCTGGTTAAATTTTGTCCGTTGGATAAATTCTGTTGCTCAAAACTTATCCAACGGATAAAATGCCTTATCCAGTGGTTAACTTTAACCAGTCCTATGACCACCGGATAACGCGCTTAACCAGTGGTTAAATATGGCTGCCTTTGACCTTCTATACAATGTGAACCTGAGGAAAAAGCGAGTTTTTCTATTTAAATCGTATGATTATACGGAAGATGAAATTATGCAACGGTTCCGTTTCTCTCCTGAAGGCATTGATTATATATCGAAGATTCTTGATCCGTATTTACGCCGGGAAACACAGAGAAATAGAGCATTGAGTGTACAAACGCAGGTTCAAATAGCTTTACGCTATTTTGCCAGCGGCAGTCACCTGAGAGTTGTGGGTGATGCTCTAGGATATGATATATCTACAGTTTCAAGGACAGTAAGAGATGTGTCAGATGCATTGTGCCGAATTGGCCCAGCATACATTTGCTGGCCAAGCGATAGTGAGAGGAGAGAGATAAGAGATGGTTTTTTTGGAATTGCTGGGTTTCCTGGTGTGATGGGTGCAATTGATTGCACCCATGTCCGTATACAGGGACCATCAGAGTATGAGAACAATTACATCAACAGGAAGGGTTTCCATTCTATCAATGTTCAAGCTGTGTGTGACCACAGAGGTATATTATTTTTTTTTAGTTTGAAACCTTTTAAAATCGATCCCCTTCTATTCTTTTACTCGTCATCTCAGTTTTAAGTTGCATTTATTATTTCAATATATATGAATTTTCCTTTTTAATAACTGCATATAGTTAACTTTTTCAATATATATACTATATAGAATTTTAAAATTCCGTATGATTTAAAAGTCATCTACAGTATTATACAAGATGAAAACAAGAGGGCCATCATGGCCCTGAAATTGCTAACCTGTATATACCCCCCCGGGGCGGTGTCAATTTTAACCCAGGGGCTTTTATTTGAACAAATTTGGTAAACACCCATTTGAAGATGTTTTTGATGAATATCTTAGCTCTAGCTTTAATGAGATTTTTTAAGTTCTTACTATACACATGTAGGGAAAAACAATGCCCCACCCCTTCTGACAGTTGAGCTAAAAATACATTCTCACACTCAATCTAAAAAGAGAAAATCATGACTGCAGTACTTTTATATAAGACAACTCAATATTCAGGTTCCGAATTGTATTGCTGTAAATAACAATATATAAAACAAACAAGAACAAGTTTTTGTCAAAACAGAGGCTGATCCACCCCCGGTCTTAAATAGTTCTTTCTTTCTTATGTTTGAAGCAATCTTTGCAGCCGATACTGACTTTCTGTACTTCTCTTTCAACTGGCTAACACTGCGAGGCGCCCCACCCCTCGCATTTACCGCATCTGTGATTTTTTGCCAAACTTGTTGCTTTCTTTTGTTAGTAATGAAATTGGTTTGTTTAGAATTAATTATGTCAATATTTTTTTCCACTTCGTCACACAAAAATGCTAGTGTGGCAGAATCAAAATTTTCAGACCTTTCTCTCTTTATTTTTGATATACAGTCCGGTTTAATGTCGGCCATTTTGTTTTTGTAAAGCAGACGGACTTATCCAGCCCTGTTGCATTGTGGTACTTAACCAGCGGATAAATACGTTATCCACTGGTTAGGTAGCCAGGGCACTATCCAACTGTCGAACAATGAAATTTTATCCACTGGATAGCTGGCCGCTGGATAAGGATTTAACCAGTGGATAAGTTATCCAGTGGTTAATTTTAACCAATGTTTTGAACAACCCGGTCCAGGCAGCTTGTATTACAAGGTAAAGCTATCACTTTACCGTTGCGTCATCCGTATTATTTTATATCATTCTCTTGATTTATTTTAAGTTAATTAAGGATATTGAATCAAGACTAAGCAAAGAAGTTAAACGGTAACAGGCATCCCAAATTAGTTAATATGAGCCTAAAATTCATCATAGAGTTGTCGGTTATATAACCAAATTATTAATTTACATCATGGACGTGGCAATTACTTAAGAAGTAGCCGTGGTACGTATAATTTCTTCACATTTTAAATTGCTTATTTAAAGACCTGAGGTCTTCCTCCACCAGTAAAGCTGGAAAGTTGCCATATGACATGTATGACCTATACTGAATTGGTGCGACTAATACATGTACTAAACCTAACATAAATATTACATACAGATATTTTAAAAAGGCTTTGACGAAGAGAGACAAAAATAGTTTGCTAGTTCTGTAACTGGCGTTAAATATTCCGTTCAATGTTCCCTATTTGTGATTTATTCCCAATACCATTCTGAAATATCAATTTTTTTCCGACAAAATGACAGCTCTTATTGAATGTTATATGACAAAAAAATGTTGTATTGCATAATTATAATGATTAAAATAATATGTAGTACTTCATTGAATAAACTGAATGAATCACCTCCGATGAGGATTTCTTTTCTTTAATATTTTTATAACAAAATAAAACACAACAACAACAGAAGTATTCGGTTCGAACCTTGTAATGGATAACTTTGGGATCTTTCAATTTGTGGTTTCAACTGTAAATAACTTTCTCTTGCATTCCCTTCAGCTTCAGCCCATTTAACTTTTTGATTACGTTCCCTGATTGATAACTTTCTATTAGTCCAGAGTCCCAAGTTGTTGGGGGTGGAGGTTGCTTCGTTACTTGAAAGTTTTAACTCCGTTTTGTTTATAATCTTAAACATCACATTTTGGTTTTTTTTTCTCGTTATTCGTAATACTTTTGAATCGTCACTTCTATTAACTTGAACAATGAGAAATCTTAACTTAATTCTATTACCAATTACATTCATTCTTGAAGGTTTGTGGCGTCATTTTTCGATAAAATCTAATATTTCAACGTTTCAGCCTTGATCTCGAGGGAATTTCAGTTATTGTCAATGGCTAGCATAATGCTGAGTCTTCCTAGATAATTATGTCGGCAAACTAAAAGCGACAGAGGTATTTTCATATTATGCTATATTGACAATGTGTTTTGATAAAAAATATATATTAAACAGGACGGCTTGTGCTAGATAGGCACGTAACCGTTCAACTCTTAATAGCAATTTTGTTTCTTAAATTGGGTTTTACGGTTCACCGACTAAATATAGGTCACATGGCGACGTTTCAGCTTTACTTGTGCAGGAAGACCTCTGATGTCTTTCCGTGCATTATTTAAGGCATGAACGGGCACCCGAGTAGAACCATCCACGTTCCGTAAGCAAGCTGGATAGCTACGGTAACCTCACTTGCAAAAATATGAATTATAATGATCCGAAATATAAATCTTTCAGGATATCTATGAACTGGTAGTCTTTTAAATAAAAAGGGAAAATATTAAAATAATGTAATGTGTTTTATCTAGTAGCTAAATAAAGTGTTTTACTTCAGATTCGTTAAATTTTAATTATTTAGAATTATGCTCAAAATTTGTTTGATAAAAAGTATCCTTTGTCGCAATCCCTTATCCTTTTCTGCAAATTATTAGCGTGGAATTGTCTATAGACGTCTACATATATTTATATTTATTGAACTTATAAATTATACATAGTCTTTTTCCTCTACAATATTTGCGGACGTGCGCTAAAAATACACACATCTAGTCTGATTTAACTTAGCAACAAGTGGCACTTTAAAAGTATCTAGTATGTTTACAATATTACCAAAATAATTTTATCGCTCCTAGGTTAAACTCAGGTGCCCGGCCATGCCTTAATTACGCACGGAGGGGCATATGACGTATACAGACAGAATCGTGACTTTGTTATCTATGAATCCAAAATAGTATATACTTCCCACGACTTAGACCAATGTTTATGGTATCTTGTAAAATAACTCCATTGAATGTTAATCATATAACTGTAAACTTGTCATTCTTGCAGACCACTGCTGTAAATTATATAACATAATAGTAGCTGAGTAGTAATAAATTTCTTATTTATTAGTCTAGTATACCATTTTACAACTGCCGCCATGTGATAAGCTCTTTTATGATAGTCCAGATGTTTGTACTTCAGTATAAACATTATTGTTTTAAAAGGTGGCTCTTGATAAGATGCTTGTACTTAAGTATAAACATAATTGTTTTAATAAACGTGGGTCTAGCTTGATCTCAAATTAGCTAGATAAGAAGTGTATCCGTTAATGTGTACCGATATTAGTCAAATTTAAAAGAAATTCCCTTTTTTAGTTATGCTAAAGTGAGGTCTCATTTGCTTGCCACAGCTGTAACAATTCTATCAACGTAATTTGAGATATTAACAATACACGTTCATTTAGAAAATTACAATGAATAAAGCGGTTTAATTCTAATTGTTTCAATATTCGATCTGCGTTTAGCCTTTTTTGAACTTTGGGGGTTGCTATAAATTGGCTGTTTTTAAAATCTTCCCCAGTTTTAAAAATAAGTTTACTAAAGTCAGTGAATATATTTGCGATTAGAAAGAAAAAACATGTTTTTTGTATTGAAGGATTCAGAAAAACCTGCTTAAAAAAGCTTCTGATCAAAAATTAAGCATGTTTTTTTTTAAGGGTTTTTTTATTAATTAAAATTATTTTTTTTTTTCCCGTATCTATGAAAGATTTTTTCCTACATGTTTTGTTTAAAAAAAGTTTATTTTTTTGGGACAAACAAAGGAAAAAAGGGGACAAAATTTTGGGGTAATAACATTTTAATTTTTAAAACTTTTACCTTTTACCTTAAAAATCCTATATTTAAAAATAATTATCACATAAAGGGGGGAAAAATTTTTGCCCTTTAAAAAAAAAGAAATTAAAGGAAAATTTAAATTTAAAAAAATTTTTTAACACTAAAATTTTCGTATAAACTAGTTAAAGGGGGAATTTTTTTACACATTCGGGAAAAAAACCTTTTTAATTTTTTTTTTTATATTGGGAAAATAAAATTTTTTGTTGGGTTTAAAATAATTTTTAAAAAAAAAAAAAATTTAACTGGAAGGCCCAAATATTTTTTATTAACTTTAATAAAAGGATTAAAAATTTATATACCTCTTTTTATTCCCAGCCTTTAAAAAATTTTTTAAAAAAAAAATTTAATTTTTGAATTCAGTTTCATTTCAAAAATTTTAAAAAAGTTTAAAAGTTAAAATTTAAAAAAAAAGAAATTTCCATTTAAATTTGTTAATTTTTTATTGTAAAATGTTTTTTGGTATCTGAATTGCGTTTGAAAAATATGTCTTACTGACAACGTAACAATCTACATGTATATAGCTATACTCAGAGTGTCAATACACATGGAGCAAAATTATCAACATTCAAAATTTGAATAAATATTAGCTCGGATATTTTTATTCGCACACGATTATAAAAGCATCTTACTTTCTACTGATAGCGTCTTAATGGTCGCTTAGGGTAAGAATGATTTATTACCTTATGTAAATACTGTGCCAAAGACTGCAATACTATTTTCTTTTTTTCACGAGATGTACGGTATAAGTGAATGTTGTCTAAAAATATCTCACTTAAATATGTCACTATCTGACACCTTCACAATATATTTACAGAATGGTCTGTCAAACTAACAACTTGTATTGAATTAATAAAGAAATAAATCCCAAACAATGGTATGGTAATAAATCTTTCTTACCCTAAGCGACCATTTAGACGCTATCAGTAGAAAGTAAGATGTTTTATAATCGTGTGCGAAAATAAATTGTCATATTATGTGGTAAAAATGTCTTCATTAAGACACTTTGGAATACTTGGTTTTATTGGCTGTTTTGGAACGAAATTGCAGATGTTTTGTAATTAGTTATTATAAGAAAATGCATTAATTCTGCAGTCGGGGGAAAACAAGAAATATTATAAGCAATATAATTGCATGAATCTTCCGTGTCAAATTTGT